ACTGAAAATCGGTGGTCAGCTAGCTAGAAGGGTGTCTTTAGTCGCGAAACTTACCGTTATTTTCCAGTCCATTTAAATGTTGAGCTCGAGGTGATTTAGTCCTCCAACTGCTAGTGTCAGAAGTTAGGTGGTGGCCGATGTTGGGGGAAAATTAGCTACCTATAATAATTATGCTGAGATTACTGAAGCACAATTTTTTTTGATCAGGTGATTAAGCCTTGCTAATGGGAGTAGCTAATTGGCTGTAATGAACTTACACAAAGGACTGGAGTCTTGTGAATAACTCAACAGTGAGCCTCTGCTGATGTTCGAAGACATTCATTGTGCCTTTGTTTATAGACTAAGAAGAGACGGAACTGCGGTCGTGCCAAGAAGGGCCGTGGGCATGTGCAGCCCATACGCTGCACAAACTATGCTCGCTGTGTGCCCAAGGTCATCAAAAAGTTTGTCGTCAGGAACATCGTGGAGGCTGCTGCCGTCAGGGATATCTGAGGCTAGCGTGTTTGAATGTGAGTAGATTGTTGAATGGTCTGAGGGTAACTAATCGTGATGCTATTAGGCACACTGTTGGTCCCCAGGACCAGCATTGAATGACACTGGAGCATGTATTTTGCTTGATTAGATCCACCAGATCAGTGGTTTATTACACTTCATACTCAAACATCCTTTCTTCTGTGCAGCCTATGTTTTGCCCAAGCTCTACATGAAACTGCACTACTGCATGTGCCATCCACAGTAAGGTGGTCAGGAACCACTCCAGAGGCCAGGAAGGACTGTACACCACCACCCCGCTTCAGGTCCAGTGTGAGTACTCGAGCACCAAGCTCTGCCATAGCCATTAATTCTGCCACTAACTGGTGATCAACTCAATGAGTTGAACTCATTCCATGGAGGGCTGAGTGTGTTGGTTTTCTTTATTTCCTTTCAATTTGTCCAATTAAGACCTAGACAACCAGGTGAGGGGAGTTCCTAAATAATCAGTGACCGTAATGGATCAATCAAGTACAAGGGAGGAGAGAACCCACAGACACTGCCCTCCATGGAATGAGTTTGACACCTGTGGCCTGCACAAAGCCTAATGTCTGGGATATCTGCATGCATTGAGAGAATCCTCAGTCAAATACAGAAACTGACATTTCCATTCCTGCTTTTCCCCTAACATTGGCTGTTATTGCATGATGTGATTGTGGACTACTGTTCTGATGGCGTTTTCTTTCTACAGGGTGGCCCACCCAGAGCTCCTCCAAAGCCCATGTAAAACAGATTGATTTTAATCTATTTTTCACTTGCAAAACATTTAAATATATCTTTATAAATATCTGAATGTCTTATTTATCAATTTAGGAAATATCAGCCAGTCAAGTTTATTTATTTGGAATACTCTCCTTCAATACAGTACAAAACTTACAGTAGTTTAATCTTGATACACATACTTAATTACATTATGGTACATGAAAAAAGGCTCTGCAGTTAAAGCGAATCCACACCATTCACAGGGGCAGGAGTAAAGGTAACAGAGCAGATAGTCAAGTCAAAGGGAACCTTGACTAGAGAAACCTTGAAAAGGAACGGAAAACATTTAAACAAGGGCAATAAAACTAGATTTTTGATTTGAAAAACAAGCGCACATCAGTAACAATATTTTTCTCTGAAGCTGGGGTGACTTAAGGGGAAATGCAAAATAAGCTTTACTCACTTGTCCTTTAGATTTGTGAAAACTTTAAGGTGTAGCAGACAGCATTGTTACCACATGCACCAGGTTTTAAAAGCATAACTGCAATCCAGTCTAGAATGAAATCCAGGATCACCTCCTTTACTTTTTTTTTCAAGGATTTGTTAACTTCTGGTGAAAAATGGATTTCAGATGAGAAACTGCACTGTTCACCGCCAGGGCAATTATGAGACATCCTGTCCTATTATCCTTGTCTGGTTAGTTAAACTGAATTGGCACACTATTACCAAAGCCCAGAGATCTCTGCTAGTATTTCAGTTGACAAGCTCTTTAATATAGCTATGTTAGAACAAGCCATCTACTCTGGGACAGGCAGATTTAATTATTATAAAGACACGTAAGATCATACAAAGATCATGCCATCTCAAACCTCGATCTTTGGCAGTTAACCGTATGTCCATTACTGTGTACATGCCATTATGTTTACAGAACAAACTGTTTTTACATCATAACTCAACACAGATGAGTGAAGTCGCAGGCACATTTTTAAATGGAAGCTATTGTGAGAAGTCAGAAGCTAGAGTTTTGTGCTGTACCATCGGCCTGATTTGTGGAACGACAAAGTCATGTCTATGTAGCTAGTTGTCGGATTGGTGACTGATGTGAAACGGCTATAATTAACACTCATAAAAATAACTCCCCTAATGTATCTATTACATTTTTGTTACTGCTTATTGAAAGTAAAACCCAGGGCCAAGTGTTCTGTCCTCAAATATATGATGAGCCAACATCCTCAAACAGTGAAAACCTCAGGGATTAAGGCACAATAGACAGATTTAAAGAGAAACAGATTGAGAGACCCTGCCCTTCGATGAATTAGTGTGAAACGATGCACAACTTCCACGTCAGTTCAATAATCAAACCATTTCTGATTACATTCTAAATATTATTTCTCTACTTTGAACAGTAATTACATATCCGTTCATAAGGCATTACATTTGGAACAGCATTAGATTAATATTAATGCAACCATGCCCTGTAATTCAGTACAATGTAAGTGCTATGAAATAGTAAGATATTTTCTGACATTTTCTTGTAGTCCACTTCAAAGCAACATTCATTTTTTTGTAGGTAAAATTAATTAAAATATCAAATAGTGTAGATACAGGGCTGTCAAAAGAAACCACCCCCCAAAAAATAAACATTCACCAAACTTTTATCCCCACAAAGAGGCAATTGAGGTAAAGAGTGTCACATTTATTAAAAAAATTAATCCCACAGCAGATTTTCCAGTCTCTCATACTTCATCTGTGTCATGAGTAGGGCCCATAGTTTTGCTTGACCATGGAAAACTCTGGTCCCTAATCGAGCTATAAACCATACAGGCTTCCAAGTTCATTTACTGTGCAGACCAAGAGATTGGGTAAAAGAGTAAGGCAACTACTGCCAAAACCAATCAGGACCTAACTGACCCCTTACCATCAGTCTCTTCAAATCGCTCAATGTAAATGCTTTTTTGAATTCACAAGTGTTTATTCATCAAGTTCCTTTGATCAAAGCCTTGTTGTGGAAAATAAAATACAAACTATACATCTTGGTAGCCAAAGTTGACCAAAGGGATCTAAATGAGTCATGATTCCAAAGATTTTTTTTACCGTCAGTACTCTATAAAAACAATTACAAGTCCAGTGAGACAAAAGGAAAATCATTGAACGAGGATAAACATTTCAGTCACTTCTGAAGAATCACGTTTTCAATCTCAACCACCGAGGACTGTGGACAACCACACACTACTCATTCATGCCTTAGCAGCAGGTTACAATCTCGTGCACATGTACTTATCACATTTAATATTTTAAATGCCTGAAAGTGCTTTTTTAAACATGTCTATTTCCTTTTTGGACGATGTAATACAATTTATATCAACATGATTAGGCTACTTAAGAAATGAGTGAATGTGCAAATCAAACCTAGTGATTAGTGAAGGGCAATCTAGGATTCAGCGTGGGTAGGCTATTTAGCAGGGGCAGATGGGGTATTTCATGTTACATCGTCAAAATGACTACATCTTCTCATCCATAAAGATATGTTGGCAAGACATGGCTGTTGTTACTGCATGTCCCCCAGATCAACGTCTTGAAAGGCACAGTACAATGAATATACAATTGTTTTAGGTCTCACTTGTAAATAATATTGTTGTTTAGGTTTGTTTCATAGTACACAAGGACCTTCTAAAATTGCCAACAATCTTATCCCCACCCTTCGTTGAAGTCAACTCCAAAAGAGTTGCAGTGGCTCCCTTATTTTGTGGAATTAGTTTTACAAATGTTTGATTATTTCTTTCAACATACTGCATAGAGAAATGTGCAGGCCATAAATGTCGTCTTCTATAAAATAGTTCAATATAAAGGATATCTCGGCAGGTATCTCAGTGCAACAAACGCAATTAAAGGAAACAAAGCAAACATACTGTACCCCACGACATTCACACTGCTAAAAGCCTTCAACTCTCTTAACTTAAACAAAATAACAAACATACACACCTATACACAAACTGAAATCGGAAAGTGCACTCCTCATTGAGGCTAACCCCTCAAATCTCTTCTAACCATTTAACTTGGGATCCTGGGTCTGGTCTGCACCGCAACTTATTAAAATATGACCTACAGTACTATACACCATCTACACACAATCTTAAACAACACTGTCTGCCACACCCCCAGGGACTAGGTGTGACGGAATGGAATAGATCTGTTAAAATGTGCTTTTCAAATAGAGCTTTGCTAAACTGACAAATTCCAAGGAAGCCTGACTGTTCTTTTCCACAATATATATCTTGGTTAAAATATTGATTAAAGTGCAGTAGAGGAAACAACTCAATGTCACAGATCTAACCCACATTGTCTAGATGGTAGCATCACTGTTTTGTGCACCCGGTTATTACCCGGATAAGAGAGGAAAGGTAGACCACAGCAGAGAAAGGCACTTTGAGGATAAAAAAGTGCATTCACTATCTTTACTTCAGAATAAAATCAATTTGAAAGTGCATTTCCTCGTTAAGAATTCATCCATTTTGAAAAGTGCATTCAGAGTGGTGAGGATTCTCCCTTTCCTTTTTAAAAAGTGATTCAATTGAGCTAATGTGCCTATTTGAAGTCGTGGTTTATGTGATAACAGTATCAACGCTTGTGCAGAAATAATTTACAAAAAGCAGTTTCGTACTACCCATCCCACTCTGCCCCCTATTGTGATGCAGACCAAACCCAAGCAGGCCCTTCTGAGTAAAAAAAAAACTAAGTACAGAGGCCCGTCCAGCCATCCCTCAGCCTCAGCCTAGCAGGTGCTCCCCGCGGACAATGTGCGAGGAGAACTCGTAGCGGTCCTGGCTGCGATGGCCGCAGATGTTGCACTCGAAGGGCTGGCGGAAGCCGTGGCAACCCATGTGGATGGTGAACATGACGTGGTCCAGGAAAAGCACGCGGCAGTGCTCACAGCGGAAGGAGCGCACCGCGTGCCCCTCTCCGTCCACCACCCGAAACGCCTCCCTGGAGGTGGGGGAGCCTGGGGCCGGGGGGATGGCAGAGTTGTCACCCTCTTCCCTGTCTTTGGAGTGGCTTGGGCTGTGTCTGTGTCTGTCCCTGCGGTGCAGTAGGGGCGGAGGGGGAGGGTGGTGGTTGGAGTGGAGGTGGTGGTGATTATCGTTGTTGTGGAGAGGCAGGGCAGGCGCCACACTGCTTAACATTTCGTCCGGCATGCTCTCAGTGTCTGTGGAGTCCTGGCAACCGTTGATAGGCGAAGGGGCATGGCTACGGGCAGGAGGTAGGTCCTCGTGGCCCTCTGCAGCCTCCCTGCCCCCCACTCCTGTGGACCCTAGGCCAGCCCCGGCCCCCGTGCAGTCCAACCTCGGCCCCAGCGGCACCATGGGGGTGTGAGCTGAGCTGATGACTGGCCGGAGCTCCGATAGACACGAGGGGTGAGGGGGGGGCAGCTGTAGGGGTCGGAGGCCTTCAGATCCACCACCTCCTGGAACCCCCAGGTAGCCTCCTCCCAGGCCGGTGTAGTGTGGCTGCTCCAGACCACCGTGGTGTGTCTCCCCGTCCTTGTCAAAGGCAGCGCTGAGCTCGAAAGGCATGTCAGCCAGATTGTGGCGCATGTGCTTCTGTCCTGCAGGGCAGATAGAAGACATGGAATCACACTGTACCACAACTCAGAGAGAAACTAGTGCTGTGCAGGTAGGTCTTTTTTAAACAGACACCTGATCTCAATGATGTTGTTCCCTTTGTGTTACCTGTGTCTTTGCTCACCCCACCCTTTACACATTCCAATTAAGTGCTGACCTACAAATTTCTGTGGTGTGGATCTCTTGCGTTTGGTGATGCTGTTGGCCAGCTGATCGATGAACGTCATCTTGTCTGAGGAAGGTTGCAGCAGGGTGTCAGGCATGAACTCCAGGTCCCTCAGCTCCTCTCCTATAGAAGACATGATCACACCATAGATAAAAGCATTAACATGCAGTGTGTATGTATGAATGTGATTTAAATTTAAAAGTTATCAAGGCTCTATAGGTTTCTCTGTGTGCGTGTGAGTTTGTTCGCCACTACCTTGAGTGTGAGCGCTGGCTGGCTTCTGTGTCTCCAGGCTCTGTAGGTAGCTGTGGCAGCGTTCGCGGTGCTCTTCCAGGGTGCTCTGCTGCTTGTAGCTGCGGCCACAGTAACTACACTTATAGGACTTTCCCACTGTGGGAGACGACACTGGGGACAAAGTCAACATAACGTAAATACAGTACATATAGAACTGTGTGTACTTTGCTCAGGAATTGACGGGCTCAACTCAGACCCTCTTTTCTTCACCCAAGTGTGTGCGATAATTTGTGTGTACAGTATGTGTATGCCTCTCACCCGAGTGAGTGCGGAGGTGGCCTGTGAGAGCGTCCCGTCTGCGGCATGCGTAGCTGCAGAAGGGGCATTTAAAGGGCTTCTCCCCCGAGTGCAGCTTAATGTGACGCAGCAGGTTCCCCTTCTGGGTAAAGGAGGCTCCACACTGATTGCACTGGAATGGCCGCTCACCTGGAGGAGGCACATACCAGTTTACACACCCTGACCCCGTACAAACCAGTTTGAGTAATTTGAAATCAGTTTCACTGTCAACCTGGTTTCGTGGCAGATCTGCTCCACAAACGAACCTCATCTTTATGTATAAAGGACTAATCAATCACTCAATTAATTGGTCAGTCACCTGTGTGGCTGCGTTTGTGCACCATTAGGACGTTGGGCCCAATGCAGATCATCCCACAGATGTCACACTTGAGTTTCCCATTGGGCAGCCGGATGGCACCTCCTGGTGACATGGGCTCCGGACTGGCCAGCTCCCTGTAGCCGCCTCCTGCCTCTCCTCCCTGCTCAGAACCCCCCTCTTCCACCTTGTCCCCTTTCTCATCCTCTGGCCCTGTGCCATGGCCCGCCTCCTCATCACTGTATAGTTCCACTTTGATGGAGTTGGCTGGAGCGAGACGGGGAATAGACCAGGAGAGGGACATATGATGAGTAGAGACACGGCTGTGCTTGCTAAAGTAGAATAAAAACATCTGAGCCACAAAACCAACTACCATACTCTCCCTTGGGAATAATAAAGTTTACTACTTCTACAACAAAGGAATTGACTAATTGGAACTGACCACTAAGAGAGCGGCTGGGGGAAGTGTGCTGGCTGTTGGGGGTGCTCACTGTGGGGCCTCCCACAGCCCCTGAAAACTCCCTCTCCATCGAAGAGTCTCCACTGCCTGCAGTCCACACACACACACCTACTTACAGTCCATTCAGTCATCTCAATAATGTCACAACCATAAGGTCAGTAAGTCCGCTAATACAAAGGACTGTCCATGCCCTGCCCTCCATACCTGACATGTAAGGATGGCCATTGCAGTCGTCATCCATTCTAACACCAGCTAACTGAAGGAAAAACAAACAGGTAAGAGGAGAGCCTCTAAATCATCAGTTCTTCCTTCTGTACACACATTTACAGTTCCAGGAAATGCAGAGTAGCTGAAAATTCCTGAAGTGCAACTGGCCCTCATTGAGCCAAGCCCAGCAATTTCAAGGGACATGAAATGGAGTGAGAGACAATGGCCTTTTGTTGAACACTTGGCTATCAATTTCTTCAAGACAGTGGACTAGGCCTATACTGTCTGGTTTAGGATAGTTGGTTGGTAGAGCTAGATTGCAATACAAGCAAATATGCTACCAGCCAAGTACATCAAAATTGAAAGACTAACTGGGCAAAACCAAGATACATTTGGCTAAGTTTATGTGCAGAAGAGTCACTAAATACTCAGTCAATGTGTATGGAAATATCTAGCTAGCTAGCTACGTTACTTGTTTACAGTGCGACAGCCTAAAAAGCTAGCTACTTTTATCGATACATTGGTTATGCAAGTTGTTTTAATCACCAAACAAACTGACTTCCTTCTTGCTAGGTACTGTACATAGTTAGCTAACGTTACCTTGCTATATGTTCACTTTGGTGGGGGTTGTAACCTGCACTACGTTAGCAAAAATAATATTTGGTTAGCACAGATGAAAGGGTTAGCTAGCTAGTTAAGATCTTTGACGTTAGTCAGATGGCTAATTTAGTTGGCTAGCTTGTTGGCACATGCTAGCAAACTGAGCTCAGCGACCTATAGCTAGCTAAAGTTAGCTGTCTGGCCAGCCTGACAACTGACAAACTAGTTAACGAACGTTATTAGCTAGCCAATTGCTTTTATGTAGTTAACGTTGGCTAACTAGCTACCTACCAGAGTCAGAAAGACCGACAGTGACAGTTCGATATACCAAAAACAAAATAGTAAGGAACATAAAATACTACTGCTAACGATGCCTAGCTAAATCATATTGATAGCAAACATTGTAGATACAAGTGTTTAATCTCTATTCCACGTTTTAGCATGTCTGGCTGGCTAGTTACGTTAATCATGTCTGTTAAGTGGTTGCTATGGTACCCACCGCCCAGAAACATGCACTAATGCTAGACAGCTAATCAGTTGGCTAGCCTATCTGGCTGATGGCATCGTCAGTTATAAACCTAATTAAAAGCACTTAAACAAAATATCTGTAGAAACACCATATACACAAATCTTTTTTGAAAATCTTCCGTACCTGTCACGATAGGCCTCGATTCTGGGATGTTATGTTTCTGGTTCTCCGCTTGTTTTCTCTTGCGACGACAGCATCTCCTGGCAGCATTTACCTCGAATCATAAACAATTTCCGGTCCGTGAAACACCGGGATACAGACTGGCTTAATCCAACTCCCATGGATTCTCATCAACAGAATGTCGAGTGTATCCGGTTTGTGGCTCAGCTAAGGACTTTCATCTTCCCCCACTGACCCACGTGTTGCACATGACATGTCACATATGACCTAGTCCTACATAGTCCAGTTTTTTCATTCCGAGGAAAAAGATTATAGCCTACAATAATCAAGTCGTTGGGAAGAAGTATAGTAAAATCGATTGGAGGATAAAATATAAATCATAAGACTGCAAAAGAGAAGAGTCACTGGAAATGTCTAATAATGCAGATTGACATCAACCATTTATACTGACCTGGGTGAAAACCCAGCTCAATGACACATTTGTATTCCCAAAACTAGAAATTTGGCAGTGGTAGCAATGTTACAGAAACAGTATAGAAAACAGTTTAGCTCAGCTGTTTACTTACCTGCCAGAGGGTGGCACTACTGCTGAACAGTGTGTGTGCTTCTGTGTCTAAAAAAGAAAATGTGACTGCACGGCATCCAAATAAACCCACGGAGAGCCTGAGAACTATCAAAATAGGTTTGCATTCATTTAACTGCATGATATCAGTTGAAACGTGGCATTCTGGTGTCTCTTGATGCGTCTCTCACATACAGTGCATTAGGAGAGTTTTCAGACCCCTTTACTTTTTCCACATTTTGTTTAGGTTACAGCCTTATTATTCTGAAATTGATTCAATTGTTTTTTCCCCCCTCATCAATCTACACACAATACCCCATAATGACTTTTTTTTTTTGTGTGCAAATTAATTTAAATAAAAAAACGGAAATATCACATTTACATAAGTATTTTACTTATACTCAGTACTTTGTTGAAGCACCTTTGGCAGCGATTACAGCCTTGACTATTCTTGGGTATGACGATACAAGCTTGGCACACCTGTATTTGGGGAGTTTCTCCCATTCTCTGCAGATCCTCTCAAGCTCTGTCAGGTTGGATGGGGAGCGTTGCTGCACAGCTATTTACAGGTCTCTCCAGAGATGTTAGATCGGGTTCAAGTCCGGGCTCTGGCTGGGCCACTCAAGGACATTCAGAGACTTGTTCCGAAGCCACTCCTGCGTTGTCTTGGCTGTGTGCTTAGGGTTGTTGTCCTGTTGGAAGGTGAACCTTCGCCACAGTCTGAGGTCCGAGCGCTCTGGAGCAGGTTTTCATCAAGGATCTCTCTGTATTTTGCGCCGTTCATCTTTCCCTCGATCCTGACTAGTCTCCCAGTCCCTGCCACTGAAAAACATCCCCACAGCATGATGCTGCAATCACAAAGCTTCACCGTAGGGATGGTGACAGGTTTCCTCCAGACGTGACGCTTGGCATTCAGGCCAAAGAGTTCAATCTTGGTTTCATCAGACCAGAGAATCTTATTTCTCATGGTCTGAGAGTTCTTTAGGTGCCTTTTGGCAAACTCCAAGCGGGCTGTCATGTGGCTTTTAATAAGGAGTGGCTTCCGTCTGGCCACTCTACCATAAAGGCCTGATTGGTGGAGTGCTGCAGAGATGGTTGTCCTTCTGGAAGGTTCTCCCATCTCCACAGAGGAACTCTGGAGCTCTGTCAGTGTGACCATCGGGTTCTTGGTCACCACTTGGGAGCCCAGCTCTAGGAAGAGCCTTGGTGATTCCAAACTTTTTCCATTTAAGAATGATGGAGGCCGCCTCCCGAGTGGCGCAGCGGTCTAAGGCACTGCATCGCAGTGCTTGAGGCGTCACTGCAGACCCGGGTTTGATCCCAGGCTGTGTCACAGCCGGACTTGACCGGAAGACCCATGAGGCGGTGCACAATTGTCCCAGCATCGTCTGGGTTAGGGGAGGGTTTGGCCGGCTGGGATTTCCTTGTCCCATCGCGCTCTTGCGACTCCTTGTGGTGGGCCGGGCGCCTGCATGCTGACTTCGGTCGCCAGCTGGACGGTGTTTCCTTCGACACATTGGTGCGGCTGGCTTCCGGGTTAAGAGCGCAGTGTGTCAAGAAGTAGTGCGGCTTGACAGGGTCGTGTTTCGGAGGACGCATGGCTCTCGACCTTCGCCTCTCCTGAGTCAGTAGGGGAGTTGCAGCGATGGGACAAGACTGTAACTACCAATTGGATATCACAAAATTGGGGAGAAAAAGGGGTAAAAGTACAAATAATAATAATAATAATGATGGAGGCCGCTGTGTTCTTGGGGACCTTCAATGCAGCAGAATTTTTTTGGTACCCTTACCTACATCTGTGCTTCGACACAATCCTGTCTCTGAGCTCTATGGACAATTTCTTCGACCTCATGGCTTGGTTTTTGATCTGACATGCACTATCAACTGTGGGACCATATATACACACATAGGTGTGTGCCTTTCCAAATCATCTCCAATTTACCACAGGTGGACTCTGATCAATGGAAACAGGATGCACCTGAGCTCAATTTCGATCTCATAGCAAAGGGTCTGAATACTTATGTAAATAAGGTATTTGTTTTTTATTTTGTATAAATTAGCAAAAAATTCTAAAACCGTTTTTGCTTTGTCATTATGGGGTATTGTGTGTAGATTGAGATACAAAAAAAAAAAAAAACATTTTAGAATAAGGCTGTAACGTAACAAAATGTGGAAAAAGGGAAGGGGTCTGAATACTTTCCGAATGCACTGTGTGAACACCCATAGTCAAATAGATTTGATTTTTTAGATTAGATCAGATGAATTTATTAGTAACATGCACAGGGTTGCAGATGTAATTGCACGGTACAGTGAAATTCTTACGCTCCCAACACACAACTGGTCATCTCCACCCTGCTACCACAAAAGTACTTTCACCCTGCACCATACAAATCAAATCAAATTTTATTTGTCACATGCGCCGAAGACAACAGGTGTAGACCTTACAGTGAAATGCTTACTTACAAGCCCTTAACCAACAATGCAGTTTTAAGCTAAAATAAATAAATAAGAATAGCAAATAAATTAAAGAGCAGCAGTAAAATAAAATAACAGTAGGGAGGCTATATACAAGGGGTAACGGTACAGAGTCAATGTGCGGGGGCACCGGTTAGTCGAGGTAATTGAGGTAATATGTACATGTGGGTAGAGTTAAAGTGACTATGCATAGATTATAGGTTTGGGTGGGGTGGGGGGAACAATGCAAATAGTCCGGGTAGCCATGATTAGCTGTTCAGGAGTGTTATGGCTTGGGGTAGAAGCTGTTAAGAAGCCTTTTGGATCTAGACTTGGCGGTCCGTTACCGCTTGCCGTGCGGTAGCAGAGAGAACAGTCTACGACTAGGGTGGCTGGAGTCTTTGACAATTTTTAGGAACTTCCTCTGACTCCGCCTGGTATAGAGGTCCTGGATGGCAGGAAGCTTGGCCCCAGTGATGTACTGGGCCGTACGCACTACCCTCTGTAGTGTCTTGCGGTCGGAGGCCGAGCAGTTGCCATACCAGGCAGTGATGAAACCGGTCAGGATGCTCTCGATGGTGCTGCTGTATAACTTTTTGAGGATCTGAGGACACATGCCAAATCTTTTCAGGCTCCTGAGGGGGAATAGGCTTTGTCGTGCCCTCTTCACGACTGTCTTGGTGTGCTTGGACCATGATAGTTCGTTGGTGATGTGGACACCAAGGAACTTGAAGCTCTCCACCTGTTCCACTACGGCCCTGTCGATGAGAATGGGGGCGTGCTC